ACTTACCTTTCCAGTTTTGTTTTTTTTTTTTTAACCTTTTCAGTTTTATCTAAGTTTTACATTTAGTTCTTGGTTCATACCTTTCTAATAACAGTTTCTGTTTTCAGTACATGGAGCTCTTAGGAATTACTAGGTGCTTTGTATAAGTCATCTTGTTTACTAATCACAGGAATGAGTGAGCTGAGTTGTGTTGCCACTTTAGAGATGAAGCAAGTGAGGCTCAGAGAGTCCAGGTTAATTTGTCCAATATCACGCAGCTTGTAAGTAGAGCAGTCAAGATTGGTTGATTACAATATGCATACTTTTCCCACCACACTGGTCTTTTGTATAAGTGTCATTTTCCCATTGTTTAACCTTGATTAACCTAATAAGTGGATCAAAGCGTACATGCATTTAAAATGTAGTACACGTTGTTAAACTGTCCTCTAGAAAGACAACAATTTTATTTCTACTAGAATGCATGGAAATGCCTCTTTTCTGACCCCAAGCTGATATTGGATATTTTCAACCTTAGTTAAACCTATCCAGTGGATTAAATTGCGTATATTCTAAGAATGTTGACTATCACTTGAGGTATGAATTGACTTTCATGTTCTTTTTTTATGAATCATGCATCCATGCCACTTGTCATTTTCTACATAGAAGTTGATGTGTTCCTTATTTATTTCTAAAAGTATTTAATACATTAAGGATATTAGCAGTTTTGTGAGATGTTATCTCAATCTGTCATTTCTCTTTTAACTTAGATTATGATGTCTTTTTGCGGCACATGTTATTTATGTTGTTAATACTAACATTTTTTCCCTTTATGGTCAAGCTTTAAAAGTCCCTTCCCACTCTTAGAATGGAAATAGATTAATTCATATTTTCTTCAAAAATTTTTATGGTGTATCTTCTACATTAAAATATTAGATACAAATATTAGATACAATTGGAATTCATTGTTAGCAGTGAGACAGAGATTTGGTTATGTTTTTCATGAAGTGCCTAGATAAGATAGTTGTTCTCAAATTTTAAAGTTTCATCTTTCCTCCATTATTGGAAATAGGACTTTTATCACATAATCTTATTTAATTCTCCTAATAATTCATTTAAATATCTAATTCTCCGAATTTCTTATGTGTTCCTCATTAACCACAGAGCTTTGGAGATTTAAGTCTTCAAATAAACTTGAAGAAGTTGATTTTTTTCCCCTAATGAGCAGATTTTTTTCCCCTCAATGTACCTGACTAGTCTAGACATTTTTGTAAGCAGGTGATTTGTAAAGTGAGCAGGTGCGGGAAGGACTTGTATGGCTTCAGGGCAGGAACTTTTCTGAACTTCTGATTCTTTTCTTTACAGGAGGCAGCTGGGAAAATAAGCACATGTGATAGTTCCATGGCACAGGTTCTTGAACCAGACCTGCTTATCACTGAGCAAGGCCCAAAATTTTCCCTGAGCCCCAACCAAACACCAGAGGTGGGTCCCTGCTGCTGATGACCATCTGCCCAAACACCTGCACTAGCACCCAGAGATGACAGGCCCTCTGTATTTTGCAGCATTTTGTATTACCAAGCAAGAGGTCTTTGTGACCTTTAATGCCTTCGTGTGTGCTGCCATGCTGGAGAACTGGAAGATTTGCCATCAGATATTGACATGGAGACTAAGCGTGGTACAGAGCAATTAAAGACTTTTTACTCACTCACCACTTGTCAGGGTGAACCAGCCTTTCCATTAGTATCCCCTTCTTTTTTCTGTAGATACAACTTATGAGGGTGACAGAAGTGGAGGAGAGCAAATGTTAATTAACTACCTTTATTACATTAAAGGCATTTGTGTTGGCTCTCTAATCCTCAGATTAAATAAGGTAGGTTAACATGTACCATTCATTTACAAAAGAAAAATCAAAATTCAGGGTGTAAAAGTACAGTTAGTAAATGGAGGAGTAAGGAGGCAGACTCCAGATATTCCAGTTTGCCTTCCTAATTTGAATATTTAGTATTTAAAGATGTAAAGCCGAGGTGGATTTAGCCTCACCAAATAAGCTGCCACCACATCATCCCAGCAGCATATTTAGTATTTGTGCAAATGCATTTAGGTCAGGCACTTTACCTAAATCTTCCCTCTTAGCACGGTAGGCAGGACCTGAAGGTCCTGAGTTCAAGCCTCAGAGAATGGCAGATCCTTCACTTTTGGGGCTTCCTAGGTGGCACTAGTGGTAAAGAACCCGCCTGCCAATTCTGGAGACGTAAGAGATGTGGGTTTGATCCTTGGGTCCGGAAGATCCTCTGGAGGAGGAAATGACAGCCCACTGCAGTGTTCTTGCCTGAAAAATTCTATGGACAGAAGAGCCTGGTGGGCTACAGTCCATGGGATCGCAAAGAGTCAGACACAACTGAGGCGACTTAGCATGCTAGGCACTTTAGCCAGGCAGTTTTGCATTTTATAAAAGGGGGTGGTGTGTGCAGATATTTGTAGAATTGATGATAAAGTATTTAACAGTTTGGTATTTTGGCATGAAATATTGCTATAGCCAGAAAATTTGTTTGCATTTTAACTGGATCTTGGTACTCAGATCAGCAATGTGTTGTTTAGAAATCAAGCACTGTCACATTCATTGACTGAGAGGATAACTTGAATGCCAGAGGGTTGACAGAATTATGTCAAAAATGTGGACTTTTAGACCCCAAGGCATAACGAAATCAGAGATTGAACCCTGGGTCTAGGATTGAATCCAGTGACTGTAAGCAGTTTGAATAACTTCTCTAAGCCTCAGTTTCCTCACCTATACACTGGGAATAATGGGCTTGTGGCATAAAATATGAGATAGCACAGTAGCTTAGCTCTAGGATTCAGTAAAAGATTGGGTATTATCAATTTATATTAATGCTTTAGAGATGACATAATTCTCTAACAAGACGTATTTGTGGTCATGCTTTTTTAGCCCTCCAAAATGTACAGTTATAAAACTTTGATTAAAATAATTTCTACTTTTTAAATTTGGGGTTATCATTTGAAGAAGATACTCGGCAGACGGACTACTGTGGGAAAAAATGTAGACTCAGAATTAAAAGATCTTGGAACTGTGTGACCTTGGGCAAGTAATTTACGTCTGGGCTTGAGTTTCTCAGAAGCAGTGTGGTGGGATGGGAGGGGTATGAACTCATTAAACATTAAACACACTTGGATTTCTGTGGCTATAAAAAAGGTGTGAACTGATTCCTGGCACGTTTCCCAGACCACCTTCAACTACTGAAGTTCTACTGTTACAGATAATCCTTTTGTCTTCTATTACTTGTGGATTCTTTCCAGGTGCAAATAACTAGCAAATAAAACCAAGATTAGTACTCCAGCTTCCATATTTCCTCATTAATTCAGTGAGTTAGAGAAAGCAAAGAAACTCAAATTTGTCAATTTTTTTAACATCTGTGGCAGTTGTAGGTGCTCAAATAATGTTTTTGAATAAATAGGGAAGGCAGATAGTAAGTCTCTTATTGCAGATTAATTAATCAATCAATCACTATTAACAGATTGTTATCTCAGGTGACAAAAAGGAGGATCGCAAAATCTTTGCCACTGAGATATAACAGTATCTGAAAAATCTGAAAACTAGGAAGCAATTAGACGACTAGAAATTGATGTCTGACAGTAAACTCACATATGAGTTGCTTTTTTAAAGATCAGAATTTAAAAAGAAAATTGAAATGGGTGAATCTAAATATAGATCCGACCGTGTATGAGCTATAGAGGAAACACGGTACTGGGAAGACTTCCTTAGGAAGGTGATTCTTAAAGAAAACCCTGATTAAAGCTGGGGAGAAATAGCATTTTGGCAGAAAAGTCAGGCATCTGAAGTAAAGAGATGGTCAAGGGGAATGAGTACAACTCAGAGGACCCTTCTGTTGAACCAGCTCTTATAATCCTCATCAGAGTGTATGTGAAAATGAGTGGTATTTTCATATCCTGCATATTTTTGTTACCACTTGCCAATTTTGTCTGCTTCTATCATGCTGAAAGTTCTGTATTTAAACAAAATTCTGTAAATATTAGGAAATAGGCACTTGAGTTGAGATAGGGTATATATTTGTGAGCAACTCCCATTTCTCAGTTGGCCAAAATTATGCCTTGTTAGATGCTGAGATGTAGTTAACAAAGCCTTATATGGAAAACATTTTCATTTCCTCATAATCAGAATGAATAAAATGTTTATGCTGTTGTTTAGTCGCTCAGTCATGTCCGACTCTTTTGCGACCCCATGGACTGTAGATCGCCAGTATCCTCTGTCCACATTGACAATGGATTCTTTACCACTGAGCCACCTGGGAAGCCCTGAATGGATATCACTAATTTGGTAGAGCAAAACACAAATCCTTATTCCTAAAAAAATTCCTCTAGAAAGGTCAATAATACTCTTTCAGTATTTTGGAAAAAGATGTGGGAAGCAAATATCTGTATCAGTTCATCTTTTGCCTCCAAATTGGAAATATCTGTCATATAATTACCAGAATACTTTTACTTGGTACCTGGGAGAAATTTTTCTGTGGGATTGATAAGCAACCTAGTCGTTTGAATATAAAAAGAACACATCACACACATCCTGCTTTCTTTATACTATGCCGTAAGCATCCGTTCCTTAACGCAGTAATATTTGAGTATCTAGAAGCTGAAAAGTAACTTTAGAGAATGAAGAATATGAGATAAGTTTGCAAATTACCCCAATGAAGCTTATCACTTGACTCAAGCTATTTTTACTAGAAAAAGATAAGTAATAGCAGGGGGAGGGAAAGCTAAAATAGTTTATAATCTTAACCACTTAAGAGGTTAAGTTAAAAGCGTGAGGTATTAATATATTTTCCCTGTGTCCCTGCCAGTGTGTAAAGACCTTTTTTTTCTGTTTGAACAGAGGGCATAGCAATGTAAGCATTGCTTAATCATGTGTCATGCAACTTTAAACACCGGCCAATTCGCTGCAGTGTTTCAGACACACACACCCACATGCACACCCTCTCGCGCACACTCACCTGTCTCCCGGGACCCACTGTTTAATGAGCCGCCAGCCTCTTTGCGTCCTCCGTGCCTGGGAACTCTGCGTCTGTGTTCATGCAGGTTGGCTGCTTGGAAACCTGGGGCGCCAGGTCACATGATTGTTGCTATGCCTGTGGAGGTGCCTTCTCCATTTCCTTTTGTTTTTACTTCTTCTGCCCTTATATATTTGTTATTCTTTTAACTAGGGGAAATGCTATAAGTCTACAGGTCTTTACAAGTCTGAATCTGAATATTTTGGACTCCTAGTTTTTCACTGCTGGATTATCTTTGGATTTCTCATAGGGTGCCACACCTCCCATCAAGGCTGCAGCTACTGGCCTTTCGGACGAGCAAGGAGCCTTTGAGGCCACGGTGGAGAAGGTGAGGCCCGAGCCTGCGGAAGTCCTCCATGTCTGCAAGAATCAGGTGGCCGAGCTGGAGCTGTGGCTACAGCAAGCCAACGTGGCATTTGAGCCGGAAACATTAGACGCGGACATGCAACAGGTGGTGGAACAGCAGCTGGTAGGGTGCCAGGTAAGGCTGCTGGGTCTGAGTTCGTGGCCTGTCTCTTCGCCAATCACCTTACACAAGTAGGTGAATTTCTCTGAAAGCAACAATGTGATTCTTCCTGTTGCTCCGACCCCTATGTTTATTTTGGCCTCAACTTTTGGTTCTCAGGATAATTTTTTGAACTAATTTACGAAAGCAGAGTATTTGGGAAGATAGTGGAGAAGATCTCAGAATCTAGAGTTTAAATCTGGTCACATTAACTGTGAACTGGAGGGAGTGACCTCTCACTTCATTTTCCTCAAATAGGTCATCTCCTAAGACTTTGTCAGGATTAAATGAGATAAAGTATCTAAATCAGTGTCTGGAGTATAAAGTATATATAAAATGCTCAGCAAATACTAGTTTTATTCATGATATTCAGTTTTTTAAAGTTTCATTCATCAGAAATGAAACTGAATATCCTGATTTGCAGGGTTACAGATAACAGCAGAAAAGGGCTTTGCTGTCATTTTACTATGAATGCTCCTACTCTTGCTGGCTTGCTGGCGCTAGCAGTAAAGAACTTGCCCGCCATTGCAGGAGATGCAGGAGTTGTAGGTTCGATCCCTGGGTTGGGACGCTCCTCTGGAGGCAGAAATGGCAACCCACTCCAGTATTCTTGCCTGGAAAATTCCACGGACAGAGGAGCCAGGTTGGCTACAGGCCACGGTGTCACAGAGAGTCAGACATGACTGAGCGACTGAACGCCTGCACCCTTCGCTGGGGAGGGGCAGGAATGTAAACTTCCTTGCCTGGAGTCATTTTGAGGAAGCTTTGCTGGCACAGCCCAAAGGTTGGGAATCTCTGGATCCCTCCAGGGAGGGGCGAGACTGACATTGCTGGAGCAGAACTGAGTGTCCTCAAGAGCTCAGCCCAGGCACCTCCCTCAAAGACACTTACGTCTCCACCTGACTGGCTCATTCACAGTTGGTGTCCAGGGACAAGGACTTTCTCTCAGAGTGCCTCAAACCACTGGCCCGTCCACAGGGAGCTCCACCCACCAAGGGGCCTGGGCATATGACCCGCCTTGGCCCGAGCCTGGCGCTCCTCCCGTTTCCATTCAGACCCGGTCTTACTACGTCCGGAGTCCGTCTAGTAGGACCCAGCCAGGCAAGCTGACCTCCTTCCTTGGGCAACTCAGCACCTCTCACCCCAAAAGTCAGCTCCTGAGGGTTGGATTCACTCAGATACAGGCCCTACCACGTGGCCTGACTGGTAAGGTGTGCAGAGTCTGGAGAAGACAGTGTAAGTGGGCACAGAGCAGTGCTCCTCTGACCTGAACCTTTGGTGTCCCAGATGTTGAGCCCCGGCCACGTAAGGCCTTTCAGGTGCCATCTGCCAACTGATGGTCCTGCTGACTGGGAAGACCCCATAGCCAAGTCCTTGATCATTCCTGGAATCCGGTCCTTGGGCCTCTTGCGTATTTAAAAATGTGGGGGCTGCTCGAGGAAAAGACACGACCACAAGGTGGCAGTCGCGTGCAGTGAGCGTTTCTTGGGCAGCGTTTCGGTGCGGTCTGGAGGGACTGGGAAGTCTGCTGCCAGACCTTCCAGAGGCTTTGGCAAGGAGCAGGGCTGGGGCCACCACCCAGAAGCGGAGGAGGCCAGGGAACTCCTAGGGGTTAGAGAATCCAGACCGGCTGTGTGTCTCGATGATGTCAGAGAATCTGAAGGAAGCAGAGGCTGGAGTCTTTAGAGCTCCAGAGTTTGTCTTAACCATGACTAGATGTGGGGGGTCCAGTTTTGAGTCTGGCACTGGTGAAATATGAATTAATATTTCTGCTGAAGAAATAAACAACATATAGATCCATATACAGGGGCCAACTCTGGCTCATTTATATAACACCATGGCATATAGACTTTAACACTGAAACATAAGAAGCCTTACAGTGCCCTGTAAAAACATTAAGTTCCCAGAGGGGAAATATCCAAGGATAGGAGCAAACAGATCAGTCAGGAAAAAATTATATTCCGTAACTTAATATTGAGAAGAAATGTTCAACCTTGATTGTTAAAGACGCATGAGTCAAAACAGCTGTTGTTTTGTTCCTACATTACCTTGACAAAAATTATATCATCCGGAAAAACTCTGGAGAAATAGATCCACTAATGTCTGCCTGATTGGTTCAACATTTGGGGAAGTCAGCTGTTAGCAGAGAAAATGTCCATCTTCTTTGACCTGTTAATCCCATTACTTTACATTTATCTTCTGAAAGTAACCCTAAAAGGAGAGGAATATTTATGGCTGCATTGATTACAAAAATGAAGCGCCAGAAGCAGTTTAAAAGCTTAACAATAAGGAGATGAAGAGAATCATGGGATACTAATATGCAGCTATTTAAAAAGATACCATGAAGCATATATATGTAGAGCCATGAAAATGTACACATAAAAATAGCTAAGTGGACAAAAGCACAAAATTACAGTACACTTGTTTTCAGCCACTTTAAAATCTAGAAGTACAAGTTGTTTAAGCTTAAAAGAGTCTGTATTCAGAGGATACGAGTAGTTTACTTGGATGAGAAATTATAACTATGTTATTGAAAATTTGTTTTAAGTTTTTCCTTAAGTTTCTCTCAAAGAATTGAACTTGTTCTTAGCACACACAATTTTAGCACAAGCAGGCGCAGGGTTAGAATGTGTCTGATTCTACATTCTGCTGCTGCTGCACTCGTGTGCCCAGCCAATTGGCATGACTTTTGTGGCTCCATAGCTCAAGGAGAGAGCAAACTTGATCTCTTGAGGAGGAAAACAATGATGATGACTTACTGGGAAACTTACTTCATCCTCCCGATTTATTTTTAGACACGGGTGTAAGTTGACCAGTGGTATCAATGACTAAGTGTTTTAGGTTCCAAGTTATGTCTTCCTGTAATCGTCTTCTGATATTTGGGGAGCTTATTTGGCTTGAGAAAGACAAGAAAAGAGCGAAGGAAGGAATTTTCCAAGGGTTCTGTGGAAGTATTTTTTTTTTTAATTACTACTCAACACTTGGATTGCAACAGAAAAAGTTTAGGAATAAGGTGGGAAGTAATAATAGTAGGCACAGACTACATATCAAGCACTGGCCAAAGTATATGGATTTAACTCTAGCTTCTCAAACTGACCCCGGAGGTAAGTTCCGTTATTATCCCCATTTTACAGATAACTAGAGGTACACCCATGCAACATAAAGTGCCCAAATTTTCCCAGCCATGAAGTTCTAGTTCTAGTGTCTGTGGTGCTAACCACTATGCTGTCTGGATGTATTCAGCTCTGTTTTCTAAAGGGAATATAGCATCACTTATTTAAGATTGTGATACAACCAATTTAGTTTATTTATTCACACCCAATTTGGAGTTGGTTGGGCTGAACCCCTACTGAAAAACATAAGGAATTATGTGGAAGTTGTTTTTTTTCTCCCCCCGCAAGGTCCCTATCAACCTGTGTTTCTGGAACTTCTTATATACACTTAGCTGTAGAGACAGTGAATCTAACTTATTTTGGAGTGTAACGCTTGTTTGAGACCAAAACTATGATTAATGAAATGATTTTATTCCTAGGCTATGCTAACAGAGATTGAGCACAAGGTGGCCTCTCTGTTAGAGAACTGCAAAGATCAGGGCCTGGGAGACAGTGGAGCCACTCAACAGGAGGCTGAAGCACTTTCCTTGAAACTGAAAACTGTGAAATGCAATTTGGAAAAAGTCCAAATGATGCTTCAGGAGAAATACAGTGAGGACCAGGTAAAGTATGACTGTGCATAGACATGTATGTAAATACAGGCATATCTATCAGGAAGGAACTCTGGGTGCAGGTAAGGAAACAACTACAGAGGAATTACAGTAAGTGAAAAAGAATTGTGCCTCTTAAAACTTTAAGGGATGGGTACCTTAGCTTTTGTCATTGGTTTCATTTTGCTGTGTAGTTTTCTCACCTAGGTTGTTGTCAGTGATTGTGTTGCTTTGATTAGGGTTGGTTTGACTGGGTTGGTGGTTGTTCTTGCTGATAATGAGATCTATGCAACCTTTCATCGTAAATTTTAAAGGAACTTCGTATTTGAAAGGAACTGTGTAATCATGGTTGACTAGAAAAATGAAGCCTTTATAGACATGCTTAAAATTTAACATCAGAAACACAAAAACCTGTTTCACAGGTACTTTCGTTTTCCATTTACAAATATTTATATATACTGATCAAAGTATCATATAAAGTATTCTTATGACTTTTAAAAGCATTCTGTGTATATAAATGCAAATGTGTATCCTATGAGTAGAATCTTACTATGTAAAATTCACAGCCATTCTTAATGAGATGGTGGTTTCTACTTAAAGGACTTCTATTTACAGAAATAAGATTGGCTGCAGATATATAGGCTGTATGGAACCCCTTTTATCCTAATATGTTCTCTCTTTTAAAAAATCTACTTATGTTTCAAACATAGGAGAAATTTGAGTTCATAAGCTTAATACTATGTCTGTTTTTTATATTTATTTCACTTTGTTCTCAAGAAAAAAGGGCAATAGATTTTCTGGCTTTTAGTAATTCATTGGATGAATTAAATTGAGGAAATGATAAAATGACCACTTCATTAAATGTAGTGGTTTTTGAAGTTGTTATGAAATAAGTACTTTAAATTATAGTATGTCATTATTGTAATTAACAAAATACAGTCATTTGCTTCATATAAAACTTTTCCATTGTGTTGTCACATTATTAGAATTGAAATGGATCACCATTTTAACTAGTCTGCCATCATAAAATGTTTTGCAGCATTCTACCACACTAAAGAAATCTTCAGAGCATCAGAAAGTTCTCCAACCAGATAACCTTTCTGAATTTGAATCTGTTGTTACCGAAAGGCCACAAT